CCCCAAAACCCCAAAACCCCAAAACCCCAAAACCCCTTCAATTGCCCAAGAAACTGAAAGTCAAAATTTCTACTTTCTAACACATAATTTTCATATTTACTTTTTCTGTATGTTAATTCCGAGTTTTGAGCTAATTTCACTTGACAATTTCTTCAATTTCTCAATCTCAAGCTCAATCTTTTTCCTCTCAGTCCTTTCACTCTCTAGCTCTCTTCTCAGCTTTTCTACATAGGACTTGGAGCTTCTCTGGGAACTCCTAGTAACATTGTCTGTTTGTCTTGAGCCATACTCTGATAATTCAGTTACTGACATTTTATCGTCAGCTCTGATATCTTCAGGGAGATCATTGACTTGATCTCCTATTTCCTCAGCTTCAAGGTCATGGTCATCCTGCTCATTCAAGTTCTCTGGCTGTTCTTTTCCATTTATCTGATCTAATTGTTTAGATATCTTTTCTATCTCCTCTTCAGTCATGCCTTCAATCTTTTGCAAGACCTTGCTCTTGGTGTCTGCAGCTTCAGCCTCCAGCTGAGGCTGTTGGAAGTGATAAGACCCAGGATAAGCAGTAGTCTGGAAGCCCTTCTGAGCGGTCTTTGAGAAAGCTCTTCTCCGATGAATACTTTTCTGTGAGGCTGTGTCCAGATCCTCATTAAACCTTCTTGTTCTTCTTTTCTTATTATTACTCTGGCCTGCTACTCTTCTATTGCCATGAGTAGTGTTTCTTCTCTTTTTAGAGTAAGTACTTCCAAGTCTAGATTTTGCAATATATCCACCTCCAGAATATAGGGTCAAGGTTTCATCATCAAATTCCTTCCTGTACTGCTGAGTGTGCTTCCGGAGATTATCTTTATTGAATGTTGGCATAATATAGAAATTATGCTTTGCTTTGATCTCCCCAACTTTCTTGTCCCTCATCATATTGGGGTTCGACACTCCCACATCAGGGTCGAATAAAGAAGAGACGGTACCTAAAATATTCTATGAAAGTGTTCCAATAACGGAATTATTTTAGAGATATTAGTCGTAAACTTACTGTAGCCTCCTTTGGACCTGATAGACCTCTTATCGATCTCAAAGAAATTATTAGAGGCGCTAGTCTCTTTCATTACTCTTTGTTGCCAAGCCATGTGGTCTCCAGTCAGAGCCATACTTTATTTTATTTTTCACGAATAAATTATTAGAAGGGGTTTTGGGGTTTTGGGGTTTTGGGGTTTTGGGGTTTTGGGG